TTAATAACAATAAATAACAAAAAGGTAATATATTTAGTTAATTATTTAATAATTCTGATAGTGATGCTGATAGTGATGATGATGGAGAAAAAAAATAGTAGAATAATTAAAATGAAAATCTTAATGATGATTGGGAAGATATAAATTGAAAAAAAAATATATTTTTTAATATAAATTAATAGTTATAAAAAATAAATAAATAAATAAATAATTTTTTTTTAAAAAAAAAAATCAAAAAACTTTACATTCTTCTTTTTATGATTTACATTTAATTTTACTATTTTATTTTTGTTCGCTTTTTTAATTTTATATTTAAGACAAAACTTCTTCTTTTTAAAAATAAAAAAAATAAAATAAAATTATTTTAATTTACTTTAATAATCGTATTCTTATTTTCTATATCCACTATTTTAAGAATTAATAGTAGTTATAATATTATTTTAATCGTTTAGATTTTATTAACTTTAATTTATAGGTTTATATTAAAAATTATCCAATTCTTCTTCTTCCTCTTTTAAAGTATAAATATTTTCAACTTACTAAACTAATGAAACTGCTCCTTACATAGGATTTCTTACAACTGTTACATTAGTTTTTTTGATAAATTATGCTTGATTATCAGATGAACAAAATAAGGAATTATTATTTTTTCTAAAAGGACTTTAACTTTAAGCTTTTCTTAAGGAATTTAATTTATTTGAATTTTGATTATTAACATCAAAATTAAGATTAATTTTATTTTATGATATTTAATTATTATTTTGACTTTAAAATGTTTCTTAAGATTTATTTCGATTATGTTATTCTAAGTTTTTTTTTAATGATTCGCTTTCTTTTAATAAGGAATCAACTTCTTATAAATTATATTTTTCTTATATTTTATTTTAAATCGTTTATTTTTATGTTGGGCTTTCATTACTATTTTAATACATATAATTAAAAGTATTTCTTGGTGATAACTTTTTTATTTTTTTATATATTTTAAATATGTTTTTTTAAAAGTTTTTCCATAATTTCTATTGCTTTATCATTTTCTTATTCATCTTAATTATCCTCATATTCTTTTTTTTATTAATTACTATATTCATTTTTCAAAATTTACTAACTTTCAAATGAATTTTTAAAGGAAAAATCTTTTTTAATGATAAAAGGTTTTTTTTTAATTAAAAATTTATAAGCTTAATCTAATAAAATACAGTCTGTTTTTTCTGTCGTTTATTAATTTTAATTATTTTATAAATACTATAGATTTTTTTCCTTTTATATTAATTCTTCTGTTTTTAAGTAATTATAATCGTTATTCTAATTAGTTATTTTTTAATCTTAAATTTTTAATTCTAAATTTATCAAAGGAGTATTAATATTGCTATTATTTAAACAAACTTAATTATTAGAAATAATATTTTAATTATCATTAGATTATTAATTAAATTAAATATATGGAACATCATATTTTAATTCTTCTTTTTATTAAATAAATTTGTTATCTGAAATACAATCCTAAATTTTAGGAAGAATAAATTAATTTAATTATTCGTAACTGAATATTTTTAAGTGATCTTCATCTTTTAAAGAAAATTTATTATTATATGTATTTGAAAAGTCATAAAAATCATTTTTTTCAGTATTTAAATTTTAATCCTAGTAATAATTATATATATCTCTTTATTGTTCAATTATTTGTTTTTATTCTGAAATTAATTCATTATTACCTTATTATATATCTTAAAATGATTTTTTATTAATTCCTTAATAATCAAAGTTTTATTAATATTATTTCTCTTAAATATTTTAATTATTTGAATTTTATAATTTTTTTTCTGAAGAAAATTCAGAAGAGGCAATTTTAAAATTATTTCTTTCATTTATTTTATCATCTAACTAATATAATTTTTCTTCGTTTAAAGTAACAGGTTATACCTATTCTTATAAAATATGATTAAAAGCAACAAAACAATCATTATTTTATTTTTTTTAATTATAAGCATTGCAGCTTTCGAATAATTTATTTTGAACCTCTGGATAAATGTTAAAATTATTTAAAATTTAATCATTATTAATACATTTTTTATATATTTACTAATAATTACAATTTTTATATAAATCAAACTACTTATCAAAATAATTATCTATATTTTGTTTTTTTGTGTTACTATTTTATTTCTATTAAAATGAAGTATTTTCTTATACAGAACTTAATTTAGTTAAATTTTTCTATTTATTATCATTTTCATTAATTTAATTAGGATTAAAATTATCCAATTATTTTTTTTGAGTGTTATCATTGCTGTTTTTATAAAGTTCTGTATTAAATTAATTCTGGTATTGTTTTTAATATTCAGAATCTTAATTTATATTAAGATTATTTAAAATATAATGCTAATTATTTTTATCTTGGCTTTAATATTAATTTAAATAATTTTATTACTAATCATTAATATTTTCTTATTAACTAATATTTTTTTATTTTTTTATAATTTCAATTTATTCAAATAATCCTTCCTATTTATTTTGAGATTCATTTTCATGTTTCGAACTAATTTATTCAATTTTATAATTATTAACAAATTTAGATTCGCCATTAATATTATAGTAATCATTTTGATTTGTATCATTTTAGTGCAAATTAAATTCTTAAGAAATATATTTATTTAAAGTTTTCATTAAAAGTTAATCCCTCAGTTATTGGTTATTATCTAAATCATTAAAAATATAATTTTTAAAAGTTAAAGTTTATAAGTTTTAATTTAACATATAATTTTTTTCATTATTTTCATAAGTAGTTTAAGGAAGAATGATTTCTTTGCTATTTTAATTAATCATATTATTATTTATTTTAAATTATTAAATATTATTATTTTCTTGCTCTTTATTGTCAGGATAATTTATATTAATCATATTTTACAAATTATTTTCTTATGTTTTAGTTTCTGAAAAATAATTATATTTTTCTATTGTATTATTTATACACTTTTTATTACTTATTTTTGGAGTTGTTTATGAATTTCTTAATGAATTAAATTTATTTATTTATTCAGTCTTGCTTTCTATATTTTAAATATTAGATTTTTTTAAATTAGAAGTAAAACTTTTTTATTTAGATAAATCTTAAAAATTATCTATATTATTTTCTACGACTTTACATTATTTTAAATTTTCATAAATATTATCTTATTATTAATTGTTTAGTAAATTTTCTTGATTATTTATGAAATTATTACTTTAATTAATATGATAATTATCTTTATTATGCAAAATAGTGTTAGTATTTTGTAAATCAATCTATTTATTCAAAATATCTAAAGTTTAATTTTATTTGCTTTCAAAAGTGAAAATTTTATGTTCATTTAAAGAATTACTATTATTTTGAAAATATTCTATATCTTTTATATTATTAAAATTAAAATTTTAATTAATAATTTTATTTTGAAAATAAAATATAAAAAATTTTACTTAAAAATTAATTTTAACAATCATATAATTTAGTGCTATATATGTTATTTAGTTAATTTTCAAAAGGTAAATGATAATTAAATTATTTATTTTCAGATTATATTTATTATAATTAATTTAGTTCTTTTTATATCTAATTATTAATATTATTATTATTATTATTATTATTATTATTATTATTATTATTATTATTATTATTATTAATAATTATCATCATTACTATTTATATTAGTATTTAAATTATAATTGTTATTATCATTTAAATTTTAGTAATTTTATATTTCGTTTTTTCCATTAAATTTTTATTTTTTTATTTTTTATTAAATTTCTAATTAACTGTTATTATTAATGATTTAATTTTCATTTTTTTCTATAAAACATTATTTACCTAAAAAATCTTCTTTTTCCTAATTAATATCATTTTAACTCTTTTCAAAATCATAATAATTTTAATCAAAATATTATTAGTTTTGTAATTTATAATTATTTTAATTTTTTTTTTATTCTAATAATTTAGTTTCTTTTTCTAATTAATCTTTTATATTTACAGTTTAATGTTTTAAATTTCTAAACTTTATTTTCTTTAATATATTCCTACATAGAAAAAATTTTTTGATTTTCTATTTTTTCTATTTCAGCTTCTTTAATTTACTTTAAGTTTTCTTATTCTTAAATAGTTTTCTCTAATTATTATATTTTAAGCAGTTAAATTTATATTTATTCTTATTTTTCCTTTTCTTCCAAACTTAGTTTTAAATTTTATTATTGAATTTTTTCTAATAATAATTATTCTAGTTTAATTTTTTATAAAATACTTTCTTCTTCATTTATTTTTTTATTTACAATAAAAGATTGGTTTTGTGAAATTTTCATTTAATTTTAAGATTTGTCCAATTCTATTATTTAATTTTACATTTATTTTTTTATTTCTTTAATTGATTTTAGTACTATTTCTGAATTTACCATTTCAAAATCTTCCTCCTTTTCTATTTTTTTCTCAATTTCTTATTTATATATTATATTATTTATTATTGGGCTTTATTAAAAATTAGGAAGAATCTTTTTATTCTCTTATTTTATTTTTTGTTCATTTTTTATAAGTTCACTTTGTAAAATTTCAAGTTCAAAAATTGAAGTCTTTTCTTATTTTTCTGAACCATATTCTAATTTTTTTTCTTCAAGTTCATCTTATTCTTGAATATGATTTTTAGAAAAATCATTATTTTATAGATATTATTGATTTTCTTCTTAATCTTTAAGTTCTAATTTGAAAGTTTTAAAAGCCTTTTGTTTATAATTTTAAGGCTCCTTATTATCAAATAGAAGTAGTAGTCTTTTCTTTTCTGAAATATTGCTTTCACTTTAATTTGAATTAAAACTATCTCTATCTATGTTATCACTTATTATTTTTTTTACGGATTTTGTATTTGGTTTTATTTTTTCAAAAAATACTTAATTTAATTATTCATAATTACTGATTTTATCATTGTCTTTCGTTTTTTATATTATAACAGAATTTTTTATTTAAAAGCTATTATTAAGGTTTTTCATAAAATTTATTTGTGAATAAACTGGGACTTAATAAAGTTTTAAAGAAGTTTCTTAATCAAAAAAGATTTTGTTTTTCTTATGATGTTCGTATCTTAGTTTTTCTTTTATAATTTAAATTGTTATAATAAAAAAATAAAATTACCTATTATTTATAAAGGAAATTCTCCTTATCCTTTCTTAATTATGTTACTACATTAGTTTTTTTCGAAATTTCCATAAATCCATGAACCAGTTTCTTTCTAAAAAAACAAGCCTAAACCCTGAAAAAACCCATCTTTAACATATCCATCATAAATATTTCCATTATGTAGGTTTATTCTGCCTAATCCATTTAAACTTCCATTTTTATAAAAACCACAATCATATTTGCCATCTGCATATTTCATAATTCCTATACCATTCGGAACTCCGTTTTTAATAAATCCGATATATTATCCTCCATCATTAAATTTAAGTTATTAAATATTTATTGTATATTTTTATAATATTTCGTTTGGAGAATTTAAATATTAAAATATTTCTTTTTTTATTTATAATAAATATATTTTATTTTTTACATGATTCAGGTAATCCTAAACCCTTTTATAAAACATAAATAAATTTTCCCTACTTATATTCAGACAATACCCAACAATTTTCATCTGTAAAGTATTTATAACATTGTCCTTCTATTTTTCCGTGGTGCCAAATTCCTTCATATATATCACCATTTGCATATTTTAAAAAAACAGGCCCATTAAGTTTATTTTTGAAAAAAAAACCATGAATAAATCCTCCTTAAGGAAAGAATAAAATTCCTTAACCATCTATTTTATCATGTTTCCATTCTCCAAAATATATTTCTCCTCCATCCCATATATAAATTCCTATTCCTTGTCTTTCATTATTCTGATTCGAAAGCCCTTAATATATCCCGTTTTGGAATTCAATTTATTTAATTTCTAATGTCTATTGCTTGCTTAAATTTAGTCTTTTGAAACTTTAAATTTATTTCTTTTTTTCAGGTTTATCTTGAAATCTTGATTATCTCATTTTTGTTATTCTTAAATTTATATTTTTTTTCGCTTATTAATATTTGAATTAAATTTAAAAAATATTATTAAAACTATAAATTTTATTTTTAAAAATTTGGAATTAAAAAAATATTTTGTTTGTTTTTCTAAAAGCTTTATTTATGTAAATATTAAACAAAATTATATTTAAAAAAAGATAAAACTAAAGCATGTTTCTTAAATGAAAATAATAAATTAATAAATTATTAAATTTAGTCTTATTAAATATTAATTGAAGTATTTCTTTTTATATTAAATTATTTATTTTTATATTTTAAATGAATTTATATTAAAATTAAAATTAATTTCATTTATTTGATTTTTTTAAAAAAAGAAATTTAAGAGATTTTAAAATATAAATTATTACTAATGGATAAAACATCAATAATTATTTTTAAAATAAATATAAAAACAAAATATATACTTAATTTTATTATTATTCCAAAATATAAAAATTAATTAAAAAATCATTCATTTTCACTCAAGTCAATTTATATGCAATACGAATAGAATTTTTTTTTTAAAATGCATTGAATTTAATCATGCAAACAATTAAAATCGCAGTTTTTTTTAGCGATAACATTCACATAATATACCAAATAGCCTGCTGTCATTCCCCAAATTCTTTAATTAGCAATATAAGAAACTCCACTTAAAGATGAGATTTATTTACTAAGATTTTTAACTCCTTTTTCATCTTGAATTGGAGAAGCCTAAAGAAGAACTCTCAGTAGAGAATAAGTGAACTCATATGTAAAAATAATTACAAAAAGCATAACTAAAAATGGTATCGAATTTCTAAAATAAAAGTTTCGAATCATAATTGATAAAATTTATTAACAATCGAATAAAAAATCAATATAGAAATGCAAAAAAACGCTATGTAAATTTTCAAATGAACTCATAAATTATAATTTGTCCAAGAATTCACTTTTTTCTAGCATTTTTAATTAACTTTCTTCTTAATTATTATTAAAATATTTTTAAAAATTCTTAAATTACAACGAAAAAATTTAAAATTATTTCTCTTTTAAACCTTAGTATGCATATTTATTAGTTTCTATACATATGTCGTCTAAATTTTTATTCAGGGAAAAATATTTATAATCCCAAAAACAAATAATTCCAATTATATTAATTCCTATTTTAGCATATAAAAATATTTTTTTCGATTAGTTTTCCTCGTCTTCATACCCTTTATGATCTTCTTATTCTTCACTATGTAAATGAAAGCTACTCATTATATTAAAAAATGATTATATTATCAAAAAAATGCATGTACTAAATGCTGATATTGTCTCATAACGGGTATAGCCATATGTATAATGAGTATTTTAATTATGTTTTGCCTTTATTAATGCATATAAAGAAAAAGAATATGAAAAAATATGCATCAATGTGTATATACCACATATAGATAGTGTTATATCTTTGTAAGTTATGCCTACTATTATAGAAAATGTTATTAAAATTAAATACTAAATTATAAAATAAGAAAGTCTTTATGACTCTTCGGATTACTAACTAAGTTTCATGTATTTTATGAATTTTCGGATGATTGATGAGTGATGTATTTTTTTTTGTTTATTTTCATATTCTTCATTATTTTTAATTTTTATGTTCATTTTTATATTTAATTTTATTTATAATTTCTTTTTTTTTTTAATAATTTATATAAATTAATAATTTTATATTTTTTAAATAATTTTTTTTCTTTCATTATATTTTTATTTAAAATTATATTTGAATAAATAATAAAAAATTTATACTAAAATTATTAAATAAATTACAAATATTTTTAAATATAAAAATATAAAATTAATATTAATAAAGAATTAATCATATATTTTAATAATATTTATTATCTTATTTCCTTCATTAATAAAAAAAAAATCAATTCTTACTCTTATTACAATCATGTAATGAGAATTTAGTTATTGATAGATGTGAAATTATATTATTAAAAGTACTTTCATTCTTCTATTTCAGACTTTATGAAAATAATGTAAAAATTATAGCTTTGAATAATTTTGTTCGCTTTTGTTATTATAAACGTAGAAATAGATAGATTTTATGGCTTTAAATGCATTATTGCTTTGTAATTTTTTATTATTAATTTTCTTTAAAAATATTATTTATATTATTACATTATTTTACAAAAAAGTTAAATAACAAGTATATGTATTATATTAAAAATAAATTAAATTCTATATATAAACTTATTAAATCTTTTACGAACTCTTTTTTATAAAATAAAAAAATTAATATAAACTATTTAGTATAGTTTATAAAGTTATTTAATATTTTAAAATGAAAAATATTTATGGTTTTCAAAAATAGCAAAAAAATAAAATAAAATAAATTAACTAATATAATTTAAAAATTAAAAGAAAATAAAAAACATAAAAAGATGAATTAAGAATACTAGTCTTTTGAAACAAAACAAGAAATAAAAACAGTAATATAATGTGATTAAACATAAGTATTTTTATAATAGTTTAACTAAAATTAAATATAGTTTAACTAAAATTAAATCCTATCAAATTTATGTGGAAAAAAGAAATCGACATTAATGTTATGTTAGAATTGTAAAAATATTTCTCTATCAAAAATCTAAACAGATGCAAATAAATGGACATTATTTTATTCGCTAATTTGTATTTTTGCTTGTTGTTGCTGTCTTCCATTATTTTTTAATCAATGTAAAGATATTTATCATTAATGCCCTATTTGTAATATTTAAGTTGGTTATACTAGACATTAACTTTTTTGAAATTTTATTTATTTATAAAATTTAAAGTTTTATTTATTTTAATAATTAATTTTTCAATATTTATGAATTACACAAATAATTTTAAAAATATAAATTTTAAACAATAAAATATTAATAAAATTAAATTTGTTTCTTTTTATATGTGTAAAAAAATAAAAATTTTCTCATTATTAATTGCATTAAACTTATGTTCCTTCTCCTTTTCTTTCATATCCATTTTCTTCTTATTATTTTTTTTCTAAAAAAATTAATATATTAATATTAATATTAAATAAATAATATATATTTTTACTTCCTCCTTTAGGATTTGAATTAAGGTCTGCTTCATTATAGTTTTATAGGAATAAATGTTTTTTGTTTTTATCTAAATTTTCTTATTTCTTATTAACAATTAAGATGTTTTTAATTTAATTAAAAAAATCAGGTTTGAGTTCTTTAAATTTTGGAAATTCAACCTAAAATAAAGATATAAATAAATTGAATTAATATTAAATGTTCTAATGTTTTTTTTAATTTTTTAAAAAAACTCAATTAACAGACAAAAATGCTAGAATAAATGGTTCACAGCATTTTTTTATTGATTGAATTTTTTTTTAAAAAAAAAAGCATCAGAACAATTAATAGATAAAAAAACCTAAAATTTTATATATAAATTTCCAAAAGTAAAAGCATCTTTAAAGAAAGGCATACCTTTTCCTTTAACAGTTTTAATGCTATTATTTTAAATATATTATCCTGGAGCTGAAGCAATTTTTAAAGTAGAGCCATCTAAATGCTCTAATTCATAATAAACACCTGCAAGAGCTTCTAATAAAGTAATTTTCTTATTATAATACAAATCAGCACCAACTCTTTCAAATATTTTATGTTTTTTTATCAGTATTTTTATATATAAATCACCAGCAAGAATTCCAGGCTTTTTATGATATTTTATTTTATTTATTAAAAAAAAAAATATACTCCTTCATCAGCTTCTCCGGTAAATTTATAATTATAATCATGAGGTACACCAGGTTCAATAGGAACTTCAAGTTCTTTAACATTTTCAATGATTTTTTTACCATTACATGTTTTACATCTATCTGAATCTTTCATAATATCGCCTTTTCCTTCACATTCTTCACAAATTTATTAAGTTTAAGAATATGCATTTGAACCTAAACGAACCATTTTTATTACATATTTCTAACCTTTGCAAGTTCCACAAACTTTTGCATTTTAACCGCCTTTACCCTAGCATTTTTCACAGGTCCTTAGTCTTTTAAAACTTGTTTTTACATATTTACCTTTATAAACTTCTTCTAGAGTTAATTCGATCGTATGTTATTTTGGTTTGGCTTTACGAACTCCTTAATTTCTACCTCCTCCTCCAAACAAATTACTAAAAAGATCAAATGGATTTCCTCCTGAAGCACTACCTCCTTCTTTCAATCCTTCTAAACCATATTTATCATAAATATCTCTTTTTTCTGGGTTTGATAATATTTCATAAGCTTCGTTTAATTTTTTGAACTTTTTATTATTTATTTATTTTTTCTTATTATATATATTTTTATATTTTTTACTTTATCTGGATCACCTCCTTTATCTGGATGTCTATAATCACCTTTAATACAAGCTTTTTTAAAGGCCTTTTTTATTTCGTTTATGTCTGCTTTTTTATCAACTGATAAAATATTATAAAGTTCTTAAGTATCAACATTTTTTTATTCTTATTGATTGCTTTCTTCTATATATTTTTTGATTTTTTGATTTGTATTTTTTTAAAAAACAAACCTGATTCTTAACCCATATCAAATCCGAATTTAAATCCACCAAAACCGCCTCCAAACATTTTTTTGATATTTATTTTATTTAGTTTTTTAAATTTATTTTTTGTATTTTTATTTATTTAGTTGTTTAATTTATATTTTTTTTCATTTTAATTATAAAGAATAAATTTATAATAAGATTTACTTTCTAGAAATTAATTTAATTCAAATTTATTCTTTAAAAGTAAAAATTATTTTTTAAAAAATAAAAATAAATCTTTATAAACAGAAATAGTTTAAAAAAATAAAAATAATAGGCTTAAATTATACATATGTTTATATAAATTTTATATTTTATTTCATTTTTTTTTTAAAAATTATTAATTACTTTTCTAAAATAAAGTAAAAGAAAAGAAAAAGAAAAAAAGAAATTTTATAAATTATAAAGTTTTATTAAATTACACAATTTAAATTATAATTTAATATATATAGATATAAGTAATTTCTTATGTGATTTATAAGCAGAAATACAAAAAATTTGTTTGCGAAAAATAATTAAATTAAAACTATTTAAAATAAATAAAAAAAAATTTGAAATAAAAAAAATTATAATTGTAAGAAATTGAAAAAAAACAATTCAAAATATTAAAAATAAATATAAATTTGTACTAATAAGAATAAAATATAAGAATTAATTTGAAAAAAATTATAAAAATAAAAATTAAATATGTAATTAAAATATAAAAAAAAAAAAAAAAAAAAATTATTATAATGTAAAATAAAATAAATAAAAAAAAACATATAAAATAGATAAATTTTAAAAATTAAATTTAATATAAATATATGTATATAAATAATTATATAAGATATTTATATATATATTATATATATATATATTTATTATTTTTTTTCATATATATATATATATATATTTGCTTTTATGATATAATATTATAATGTCTTAATTTGAGGATTTAGACTTTTTTTTGTAATATGCTTAATAATTTTTATTTATAGTATAACTCATTATTATTTTTTTAAATTTTTTGTATCTGTTAGAGTAAAAAGTATAATTTAATATCATATTTATATTTTTATTTTTAATTTTTTTTATTTACTTTTGTTTATTTAATTCATTAATTTTTATTATAATATTCAATTTTAAAGTTAAACTAACTAATTTTTTTTTTTATAATTTTTTGTCTTTTTAATTTTAATACCTAACCTTACTTAAAAAAAAAATTATATAATTTATATTTATCAATATAGATGTATTAATGTTTTTTTAGTCCTACTAGTTTTTCTTATTCAAAGAATAGTTTTTTTTTTTTTTTATTTTAAAATTTAATTAATAATAATTATATTTCAATTAATAAAGCAACACATACTTGAAATTATAACCCACACTATTTTTAAAATAATTTTTTTTTATGTAATTATAATTAAGAAAGAGTTTATATATTTTTAAAATTTAAAAATATTTATATTCTATTAATATTTTGCAAGATTAATTTTCTTTTAGGATTCTGGATTTATATTGCTTTTTATTATATTTTTTATATTCTATTTTTTCAATATCATTTTAAATGTAAAATAAGTATTATTTATTTAAATTATTCCATTATATTTTTTTATTCTTATATAAACTATAAATCAAAAATTTTAGATATGCACAATTATATTATTTTTTCTAATTTTTTTATAAAGTTTATCTTATTTTTATTATAAAATTATATTTATAAATTTTCAATTATTTTTTTTAATATATTTTTTTCATAAAATAATAAATAATTTTTTTTGTACCTATAATTAAACTATTTTTAGTAGTTTATATTACAAAAAAGAAACAAATAAATATCTGGAGCAATAGTAAATTTTAAAAAAATCTTTTTTATCTATGACAATAATTTTTATTTTAATCAATTAAAATTCATTTCTATATTTTTAATTATTTTTCTCTCGCATATTATATTTTTAAATTCTTTATGTAGTTTGGTAATAATAAACTATATAGCCCCATAAATAAATTTATAGTATATTATTTTTTAAAACTTTTTTCTGTAATATTTTTTAAAAACATTTTTTTTAAAAAAAAGGGTGAGAAAAAATAATAATTACCTTTTTTTGTCGAATAAATGAATTTTTTAAAAATATTATGAATAAAATAAATAGGTTAAAGATAAAAATAATAATAATTTTACTTTTTTAAAAAATTATTTTATTTTATATATAGTCTCAATATATAAAAAAGAATATTTGTAAAATCAAATAAATATAAAATATAAAACAATTACATACAAAAAAATTAATAATCACATATTTTTAATTTATTTGTTAATTATTATTTAATAAATATTATAAAATATGTATTTTAATTATAATAAAACAATAAATAATAAGACTTTTATAAAAAAAATCAATACTATAATAGTTTAAAAAAATAATTTTGATATTTATTGCTCGAAAATTATCAATATTCTTAAAGTATCGAAACTATTTTAAATAACTCTTAAATATTTTTTAAAGTTGTTGTAAAGTAAAACACTAAATTGACCGAATTGGAAAGTAATAATCAGGCCTTAATTAACACTTTTTTATTCGGTTCTAAATTCTATCACATGTATATATAATATTTATTTATATTTTTTCTGTAGTTTATTTTAAATACTTAATTAGTAAATAAAAAAAGGTCAGCAAAAATTGAAAATTTTTTTTTTAATATCGATTGAGTTTTAAATAATATTACATAAAAATAAAAAGGCAATATTAGCTAGGAATATATCTATTTAAAAGCCTTTTTAAAAATATTATTATTTAATTATATGAATTAATATTTTTTAAGATTTAGCTTCGGTTTCATTGTAACTTTAAAAAATTTCTTTGCCAAATATTTCAGTTTCGCTTTTGTTTCAGAATAATTAAAAAATTTGGAATTGGGATTCTTTAAAAAGTTAAAATTCAAAATTTTGATTTTGCCTAAAGTTTAAACTATAAATTGATTATGTTTAAAATTCAAAAAATAATAACTCAGTAAATACCTAATAAAAATTAAAAATCTAAATTTTATTATATATATATCCTTAAACAAATGGTATATATTTAAATATTTAACAAATTATTATACTTAATTTTCAAAATTATTTATATATTATTTAATTAAAACTCATATTTAATTATACCATAACTTTGAAAATAAAAAAAGTCTGATTTCTAAAAAGAAAATTGTAAAGGCTTCAATCATTTTATAATTATTTTACTATCAATAAAAATATTTTTATACACATGTTAGAATAATAAAAAATAAAATTATAAACTTGTGATATTCATTATAAATATGAATATTTTGAGAATTTTATGTATGGAATTAATATTTATTAGTATAAATAAAGCGATAAAAATATTAAAAATTAAGTTTAATTAATTTCTAAATATAAAGGTCGATTCTTATTGTAATTAAAATAAATAAGTTAAGCCCTTAGTATTAAGGTGAGAACCCCAGGTCAAAGCTAAGTTAATCCAAATGGACCATTCATAACTTTGTGTATCAAATTAATAAATTTGTGATCATGGTAGTGTTGAGGAAGTTTTGATAGTTTCTTCCCCTTAATTCAAAGGACACTAGAATTGATCAAAATTCAAGACTCATCCATCTTAGGTCTAGCACATGGAAGAATGCTGCTACGCTAAAAATCTTTGGACGCATCCTGATTAAGGTCTAAATATATTTTAACGACAACTAGTTTGTGGGAATTTAGGGCTAAATAGACGATAATGGTAAATTAAAGGAGGAAAAAAGGTGATACCTACTGTTTTTGTAATGTAGTTTTTCTTTTTTTTTAAAAAAAAACTTATTTCAGGCGGTCAAAATGAACATATAAAATTCACTATAACTAGTTAAATACTATTTAATTATTGCGATTTTATTTCTATTAATTAATTATTTTGTAAAAAAAAATTAAATTAAAATATTGTAAATAATTTTATTTTATTTTATTTAAACTTAAAATTAAAATATAAAATATTTACTATAAATTTCTTCAGCATTTATATATAGTTTATATAATTAATTGATTTTATTATATTTATTTCTTAATATAAATTTCTTGATATATATATTTAATTTAAATATTATTAAATAAATAGTGTTAATATTTTTATTTAATAATAAAAAATTTTAATAATTTAAATAAAAATATATTATATAAGTAAATTATTTATAATATTATTTAATTATTAAATTACATTATTATATATATATATTTTTTTTATTTTAATTTATATATAATTATTTTTATTATTTATAATTTTTTAATTTTATATTATTCTTAATTTTTTTTTAATAAATATTTTCTAATTTTTTAGTTTTTATATTATTTAGTAAAACAAATTAATTAATAATTTATAAACCTATTAATAAAAAAATTCATAATTAAGAATTGTAGTTATATAATATATTTCGTATATATAATATATATCACACTTATAAATAATATTAAATATTTTATTTATTTATTATTAAAAATATTAAAATATATATTTATAAAGAAAATAAAAAACAAATCAAAAATAGTTTTGATTTTTATTTATAATTTTATTCAAATATTTCAATCATATTATTTATAATTGAAAACATAGAAATATGGGTTGTTGTTCTTCAAAGCCATAAGCAGAAAAATATAAACAATAAACAATAAAATACCCTTAAACTGAATAATAAAGGATATTTTAAAATATTTAATAAAAATAAGAAAATATTGAAGTAATTCATTAATAGTAAATATAATCTAATCAAAATAAATAAAATCTTATACAAAATCAAATATAAATTAATTAAAAAAATTCCGAATAAATTCAAAATTAAGAAATAGAATGCAAAAATATTAACGATATCAATTAAAAGAAAATACAAACAGTTTAATTGCAATAATATTTACTCAAAGACAATAACAATGAACCTTTAATAAGCAGTAATAAATAGAATATTTAATTAAATACGTAATAAATCCAAAAAAATTCAATTGATGTTCAGGGAAAAAATAATTAAGATGAAAATTTAGTGGTTTATAACATGGTAAATGAACTAAGTAATAATGAAAAGCAAAATTACCAATAAGAATAATTTAGAGCTTATAATTTATAAAATAGTTTAAAAAAATATAATTTTGAATCTAATACATTGACTTAAGTTGGATAAAATTTATAAGACTATTAAAAGGAATTCAGGTAGAGTAAATTTCCAAATTTAATTTAAAATGATAAATAAATTGTATTTTTATTTATATTTTTTAAATATTTTATTTTTATACTAGAATGATAGTTAAATTATAGTTGAAGAATTAAATGAAAATGATGTTAATAAATAAAATTTTTAATACAAATACAATATATAAGGTAATATTAAAGCCAATATTGAAAAAGACTCAATACTAAACAAACATATGAATAGTATTCTAAAAACTATATAATCAAATATCACTAATGAACCTACATTTCAAAGCACATAACCTCTTTAAAATAATGAATAAGATTAAAATTATTATTTTGTAGAATATGTTGGTTTTTTGGAGGAAATATATCATAAAATAATTATAAATTTTGCGGCAAATAATAGCTTTCAATAAACAATAGTAAAAACTTTATGTTTTAATGATTATTAATAAAAGTATGAAAAAAAGTAATTTTTTTTTATTAACTTTATTTAATTAAATTAATAATTTATATTTAATGATTTATATAAAATTACGAAATAAATCTCAATTATTATTTGCTTAGTTTTTTTTAATTTTTTCTATAATTTTTTATTAAAAACTCAATAAAATTAAATGTAAATATAAATAGATAATGATCTTTTTTTGTTTTTAAGATTGAGTTTTTTAAAAAAAATATGAACAAATAATATTTATTTGTTTTTTCAAAATAATTTATTTCAATTAATTTATAATTTTTATATTAATTAGCAAATGCAATAATTCAAATTTTTTAATGGCTTTCCAATTTAAATTTTAAATTAGCTTTCAAATTTAAATTTAAGTTTATAAATTATTTCATTTATTCTTAATTATAATAATTGAATTAATAAGAATAATAAAGTTAAGATCAAGAATTTTTAATTATTTATATCTATTTTTAAAAAAAAATTTAAAAATTTTATTTTATTGCATTTGTTTTTAAATTTTTTCTTAAGATTATGAATTATATATTTTTAATAAAACTTTTTATCTAATTAATTTATATTCTTTTTATTTATTTTCTCATATTATCTCTAATAAGGTTTTTGTATTAACTGAAAAATAATTTAGCTTAGTATTATGAAAAATAATTTAGCTTAGTATTAAAATTATTATATTCTTAATATAATATTTATAACACATTAGTTTTTCTGCTTCTAATTCAATAATTCAACTTAATAATAAAATATCTAATACCTTTCTAATAATTACATTATTTTATTTTGAATGCCATAATTTAGTTTAAATATTATTGAAATTTTATTTTTAATTAAAAATTATTAATGCTGATTTAATATTTTTATAAAAACATTAAATTGTAATAAGAAATTATAATTATTTTATAAATATATATTTAAAAATGTTTATTTTATTTTAAAAATTAGTATTTAAAATATAATTAAATAAAATAAAAAATTCTTTAAATATGAAAAATAAAATAACTATAAATATTAAGTATAATTATTTTTTAATTTATTACAATTTTTTAATTTTAGTATTCTTAAAATAATTTATTTAAAATATTTAGTATTTTTGTTAATTATATTATTTGATTTTTTAATTAAAATTAATTTTTATAATTATTAAATTAATTTATATTATAAAAATTTAAGTTATTTAATAAATCTATAAATATTATTATAAATATATAATATTTTATATTTTTAAAATATTAAATTTATTTTCTTATATAAATAGTTGATATGTTTTTAATTTCATTATATTTTATATTTTCTATAAAAAGTTTTTGAAACAATTTATAAAACAGTATGTTATTAAGAGTTAACTATTTTATTATAAGATTATTTTTTTATTATTTTATTTAATTTAATTTATTATTTTTTAAAATTCTCTCTAAATATTATACATGATAAATGATATTATTTAATTTTAATAAAAATAGAAAAGATTATTAATGATATAAAAATAATTTTCATTCAATTTACTCTGAATTTTATATTGGATTATTTGTAATATATAAATTTGATTTATTTTAATTAAATATTAAAAAATATTAAATAAGTTAATAATATTAATTCAACCATATTAAAATCCTTTAATTTTTAATTTTTTTGAGTTTTTTAAAGATAAATCAATAACTAAATTATAATTATTACATTGATTTTAATTTATATTAATAATTTGTTATTTATTTTTGTATAAATAAAATAATCTTTACTTTATTTTATATATATTGTCTAAATAATTTTAAACTTTAACAATAATTATGATACAAAAAATAAATTTTAATTTTTAATAATTAAAGCTAATAAAAGTCTTTAGTAAAAAAAACATAATAAAACTAATATGAATGAAATATGTTTAAAATATATATAAAAATTCCATAAATTATAATATTTATAAGAATATAAATAAATTAAAATATAAAATTTAAAATAAAAAAAAAAAAAAAAATATTTATTATATCTTTTTATAAATAAAATATAAATATAAAAAAAAATAAAAATGAGATAATCATAAAATTATTTTTTAAAAAACAAGATATAAGAAATAATTAAATATTATATAATTTAAAAAAATAGACTTAAAATTTTTTTTTTTAAATATAGAAAATAATAAGACCATATTGTAAATAATTTTTTTATATATATCTATAAATATATATTAAAAAAAAAAAAAAATTAAAAAAAAAAAATTATAAATGATAAAAATTATAATAATTTTTAAAATAATATTAATACAATATATATATAATAATATATATATATATATATATATATATATATATATATATATATATATATAAAGATTAATTTTTTATTTTTATTTTACATGATTCTCTGTATGAATTGCAGTTTTTTATATGACTCTCTATATTTAAAGAATTCTTATTGCAGAAATAAGAAATAGCAGATAACCTATTTAATTCGTTTATATTAGTTAATTTAATGTTTTTTTCTTTTTGAGAAGAGTAGCTGTTGTTCTAATGGCATTATTGATTTTTTATAAAAAGGAAATTTATCATAAAATCTAAAATTTTAATATAATTTTTGGGAAAAATTTTAAGTCGAATTTCGGAATCTTGGTTTAGCCAGAGTTTTTTTAATTATAAAATTTGAATTTTTTTTTTTTACTTTTTTTTTTATTTATTTTTTATTTTTTATTTAAATTAAAATTATATTTTAATTTGATTATAACTAATAGAATTTTTCATAATATTTATTTTCGCACGCAAGCCTTTTTTTTTACTCACTTTTTATAATATCTAATTTATATTATTTAATTCGAAAAAGTTATTTAATCTTGGTATGAAATTTTTTTGACGAATATTTTACATGTTAACTTATTTAGGAAGAAATAGTTTTTGGAAAATTAGTTTTAAAAATTACTTATTGCAATAATTTTTTAAAAAAAACTCAATCAAACAAAAAACAAACCTATATCCATTTTTTTATTTTTATTATATTTTGTTAATTTAGTTTTTTAAAAAAATTACAAATTTAAAAATCAATATAAAAATACAATCATCAAAATCATTATATAGTTTTTTCTGAAATAACTCAGTAAACGAAATTTTTAAAATTAAAATTTATTTATCGTATTACACTATGTTAAATTCTGATAAATTACGATTTTAATAATAAATATTTTTCAAAATTTTTTAGTTAGAAAAAATAATTATATTGTTTAAAATAAAATAAAATCAAATAATGGATTATAAAATAAAATTTTAAAAAAATATTCATTTCAATCAAATTTATATTAAAAAAATATATAACATTACTACAAACCACAATTTAATTTGTTGCATTTCTATTATAGAAATTGAATTGGCTCGAAAAATATAAAATAGCATAGTATACAAAAATTTTATAAGAATAATTGTTTTTAATTTATTTTTTAATCTAATTAATATTTATTATATTTTCAAATTTAATAATATATATAAAATAAATAATTAAATATAAAAAAGAAAATTATTTACTAGAGATTTAAATATACAAGTCAATGAATAAATTATATTAAATTTAAGTAAAATTTGCATATTTTTTTAATCTATAAAATATACGAATAATTATTAATTATAGTTTTATATATTTAATAATAAAAAAAGAAAATAATAAATATATCATTTATTTAATTTAATAAATACAAAATAGATTAAATTTTATTATTTCATTAATTAAATTTACAAAAAATGATGCTTCCTAAATAACCTATAAAATTTAATTTATAATTTATTTAATATATTACAATGATACAATAACCTGCTCCAATAACAAAAGGATCTATGGTAATTTAATACATCCAAACTAAGAAAAATTTAATTAGATAGTTTTTGTATTTATAATGATTAAAAAAAATTAACTTCAAAAAAAATAATGAATATGTCTATACAAAAAAACTCTAAGAAAATACTATTGTTTTTTATAATTTGCAATTATTTTATTATTTGTCGAGATTTATTTTAAATTTTTATAAATAATTTTACATTTGTTTTCTTTTTATTAATTTTAAAAAAATTATTTAACAAAAAAAAATATCTATGTTTTTTTGTCAATATATTTATAATGATAAATAAACATGATTGAAATAAATATATTAATTAAAATTTTTAATTATTAAATATATTTATTATATATTTAATTTCCTAATAAAATATAAAATAATTGCTATTTAATTAATACTAAAAATAATTAATATTTAAATATTAAATAAAGTTAAAAAAACTATTTTTACCCTAAATTATATATAAAATCTAAATATAACAACAAAAATATCAAGATTATTAGGTTTTCTATGCTAAGAAATAATATTTTTTATATAGTCTTTATGCGTTTAATTTATCCTATAAAATTAATAAAAATAAATATAAATTAATAATTATATATATAAAAATTTACATTTTCATCAAATTTAAATTAAGATTCATTATCATCATCATCATCATCATCATCATCATCGCCATTTTGATTATTATTATTTTCATTATTTATGTTATTATTATTTGAATTATTAGAATTTTCATCTTCTTAATAATTATTTTCATTTAATTTCAAATTTTTAACATCATTTATTTCAATAAACTAAACTTTTTTAATTTTGAGCTTACTTTCGTTTGGTTAATCTAAGCTAATCTAATTTTGTAAAATCTTTTCGCCATCATCTAATCTTTCTTGTTCATCTAATTTTACTTCTTCATCCATTTTTTCTTCATCTTCTTCAAATTCTTCACTATAATCACAATCACAATCATCTTCATTCTTATCATTAAGATGCATTAATTCTTCATTTTTAATATAATTAAGCGCATACTAATAAACAGGTGGGAATTTCCCCAAATCAAGCTAAAATTCTTTATCTTTAATTTCCTCATCATCATCATTATCCATATCCGCAATCTCAGCCGCACATTCAGTAGCATATTAAATTTCTTCGGTTTATGCTTTTTTAAAGCCTATATATCTTCTTAATCTTCCATTTTTTCCAATGCTTTATCAAATTAATTTTTATCTACATAATCTTGATTATTTTTATTTCCTAAAACTTCTCCTAAAATACTTCTTACATCAAATTTTTCAAAAAATTATGTTGTAAACATTCCTTCTTCCATTATGTACTCATCTAGCTTTCTCTTTTGTAAACTTTTCAACAGAATATTCTCTTCAATTGTATATTCAGATATTAACCTATAAATGCTTACATTCCTTGTTTATCCTATTCTATGGCATCTATCTTGTGCTTATTTATCCATAGCAGGATTCCAATCAGTGTCATAAAATACTACAGCGTTTGCACCTGTTAAATTTATTCCTATTCCTCCACTTCTAGTTGATGATATAAAACAGAAAATTTTAGGATCTCCATTAAATCTTTCCACGACCTTTTATCTATTTTCTATTTTTGTTGAACCATCTAATCTTACATATGTAAAATTGAATAAATTTAAAACATTTTCAAATATATCAAGCATTTTTGACATCTTTTTTTTTTATTTTTTATTTTTTATTTTTTTTTATTTTTACTTGTGTAAATATTAAAACTTTATCCCCTTTTTACTTTAACTTTTTTAACAATTATACCATAGAATTTAATTTTCCACAATCATACATTAAGAGCTTTTTTGAAGGAAAACATAAGGTTTACCTTATATGAGGATAATGAAATAGTTTCGTTATTTTTTAAAGATTATTTGATATTATTTTATTTTAATAATCATAATTATTCTTTTTAAAATAAATTGAAAAAAAGAATTAAATTAATTTTACTTTTATCATTGAATTATAAGGAGTTATTTCAATTTCAATTTACTAAGCGATTGCTTTTTATGAAAAAGTGAATTCTTTAATAAGACCTTTTACTGAATCAAATGTTTATTCAAAAGTTTAAGAAATTTTAAATTGACTCAGAGCTTAATAGGGGTTTTTCTTTTTTTTTAAAGATAAAAAATTAACTAAGTCTCGACCATAGATAACAAAATCTCCATTAATTCTTGCTTTATTTATTCTATAATTTCTTTTCATTTTCTGGAGAGTAGTTTATTATTTTAATAAAAACCATCGTTAACCAAAATAAGGCATTATTTCAGGCCAGTATTCTTCACCAAACATTTAATTATGGATTTCATAGAAATCATCTGGGCAAGGGATTAAATTTTTTGCTCTATTTTAATATTTTAAAATTATATTTTTACATTAATAAAAAAATAAATATTTTTTTATCAAATAAAATAAATTATTTTCTTATCAAATAAAAATAGTTATTGATTTTATATATATTTAATACTTTTCAATGTTATATTTAGATCTATTTACTTCATTATTAATAAAAATTAAAAAGTAAGGAATTTTAGTTTAAATATTGCAAATGAAATGTGCCAAAACTACATAATGAATTCTTAAAGAAATAAAAGGACTTTCAATTGTTCTAGATTCAAATAAATCAGGATGATTGCAAACTTTTTTTAATTACATAACAATATTCATTAGTCCTAAAAAGTCTTAACTTTTTGATTATTCACGACTAATAAATTCATCGTATAAATATTTTTATCTTCTACTTAATGGACATTTTATTATATATTCAGTTTTTGTTGGAAGTTATTTTTCGACATCTCTTTTCATTCTTCTTAATAAGAAAGGTCTTAAAATAGAATGCAATTAAGTTAAAATTTCCTAACTTATAGGCAAATTTTTTTACAATGCTTATTACATAGGTATAGAAAACCTAAAAAAATAAAATAAATTTAAAATAAAAATATATATACCATTCCATAAAGTCAGCATGAGAATCAAAAGTTTTAGGCATTAGAAAATGTAAAAGAGACCATAATTCACCAACATCATTTTAAAGGGGAGTTCCAGTAAGCAATAAACGATGCTTAGTGTTAAAATTAAGAAGAACTTGCCATCTTTAGCTTTTGAAATTTTTAATATTTTAAGCTTCATCTAATACCATAAAATACCATTTTTTTCTTCTGAATATTTTTTAGTCTTATAATGCTATTTTATAAGTAGTAATACAAACTTAAAAATGATTAAGCTTGCTCCATCCTTATCTTTTTTATTTTCTTTCCTTTGGAGATCCATAATATGTCATTATTTTAAATGCAGGACACCATTTTTTAAATTCTATTTCCCAATTAATTAATATACTTGTAGGAACTATTATTAAATGAGGTCCCCAAATACCCTTTGTTATTAATATGAAGAATTAATATTAAATATTATTATATTAATTTTTAAAAAAATAAAATTCTAAATTTTTTTAAAAAAGGTATGTAGTTTTTATGCAAAAATTATTTACATTTTTACTTTATTGCATGCTAAATGTGCTAGAAGTGCAATTGTTTGAATTGTTTTACCTAATCCCATTTCATCAGCAAGTATTCCATTCATTTTTTTCTATTGTAATGTAGCTAACCAATTCATTCCTATTAGTTAATATTCTCTTAACCTTCCTTTCAACAAAAATGGTTAAATTATTTAATTGTTATTATAAATTATCGTTTAAGGTTCAAAGCCATAAAAATCAAATTTTATATTGCCATATTAACTATTTTTTATTTTTGTTTATTTAATTGAAAAAAAAATACTCAAATTCATCAATTTCAAAATCATAGTTTTTAGACGGAGAATTAATTTTTTTTATAAAATTAGTTTTTTCATAGAAATAAGTGTTTTATTGTCCTTTTCTTAGAATTATTTAAGTATTAAATTGTTTTAAAAGATTAATATTTTCATTAAATTTATTTTCTAATTCAACCATTTATTAATCAAACTCTTTTTCTTTTTATTTTTATATTTCTTACTTTATCCTTAAATCATCACTTTATTTACATTTTGATTATTCTATAGCCTTTTATGTATCTAAATCAGGAATATTTTTAGCTAATTAAAGAATTTTAGCTAATTTCGATGATAGATTTAGTTAGTCAGTTACTAAACTTTCTAATCTTTTTTATTAATCTTCTTTTTATTCTTTTTAAATTTCAATTAAACTCATGTACTTCTTTACCTTATTCATTTACCTCCAAAATTATTTTTATACTATTAAATTACAGTTTTCTGCTATTTTTTTAATTTTTTTAGCCTCTTCTTTTTATTTTTATTCTTTTGTTTATTTTAAGTTCATATAGGCAGTTATAGAATGTTTAGAAATTTTTCTTGTCTAAAATTTAAAATAACTTCTTCTTTTTTAAAAATAATCCGCTGTTTCATTCTTTATTTTATATAAATATAAATATGTTTTTTATATATTTTGTTTACAATTTCTTATATAACATAATCCCATAAACATTAATTAATTTTAGGTTCTTAATATTTTTCAATTTTACGACCATATTTATTATGTATTTCTAATAGTTATTCTTCAAAGTTGACTTTTTTCTTTAGGTTTTCGTTGTATTCTTAAGGGTTAAATAATTTTTTATTTGGATTTTTTTTAGATTTATCTTTTATCTCTTTTTTAAAAGTATTTTCCTCTTAAAAAAAATATTATTAATTATTGCTAGCTTTATTTATATTATTTTTTATGTTATCATTAAGAATTTTATGCTTTTTTTTGTCTTTATCTATTTTTTTTAGTTTTTTCTATTATTTCTTTGTTAAAATTTAATTTTTTTTTCTTGATAAATTTTATAATATATTATTATTATTATTATTATTATTATTATTATTATTTTAATTATTAATGTTATTTTTATATTATTTTTTATTTTATTATTTTTCAAATTTTTATATTTATTTAATATTTTCTTGTTATTAAACTTTTTTATTTTTTTAAGGGCATATTTATACTATTCTTTTTTATGAAAAGTCCATATCTTCTAGTTTTTTTATTTTTTTTGTCTTGAAGATAATCTTCTTTATTAAAGATTTTCTTATGTATTTGTATTATTATTTGTTTCACTTTATTCTTATTTATATTTTATAATTATTTATTTATTAAAATTATATTAGTTTTACCTTTCATTTGCTTTTTTTAATAGTTTTATGCTCCTTCTTCATATTCTTCATCATATATTTATTATGATTCTTCTTCTGTCATTTTTTTTTTTAATTTTTTTTTTTATTATATTTATTTATATCTTTTTTTTTGGTATATTTATATATAAATATAAAAGATATGAATTAATTAATATTTTGTTCCTTTTAATAAATATTTTAAAATTATTAATTTAATAATTTTCACAAATTTATTTAATTTATATTTGCAAAAATAAAATATATTTTAAAAAATTAGAAATTATTATTTAAATATATTTTTTTAATGAATAATATATTATAATTCTAATTTATATTTATAATAAATTAAATTGAAGTAATCGCATTATTTTTCTAAATTTTTTTTTTTTATTAAGAAAATTAATTTTTTTTTTTTATTTTATTATAATTCATTAAATTGAATTAATACTATTATATCATTTATACTATTTAATTTTTCTTTAAATTTGTAAAACAAATATACTTATTAAGTAATAATGTAATATTATAATAATGGTTTTTGCTTAGAAATATTAAATAATTTTAAAGTATCTAATATTTATAAAATATATTTTATTTACTTAATTTTATTTTTTTTATTTTTTAATATTATTTTACTTGCAAATTTTAAAAAACTTATAATTTAATTTTAAAAAAATGGATGCATATTGTTATGAAGACGAAACTTATTCAAATGAGAATCAAGCAAGTTAAGATTTTATTAATTATTGTTCAAAAGATGATTATTCATAATCAGAAAAAGAATAAGAATAATCAATTTCATAGGTTAATGATGACGAAGAAATAAAACAAATAATAATAAAAAACTAGATTAATTTTATAAAACAAATTCGAGAAAATGATACTAAAAATAATATAGAGGAAAACAATGAATAACTGGATATAATTGAAGAAGCATCCTATGAAGAAATATCTCTATCGAGCAAATAGTAAAGTTAAAACGATGAAATTTAATAGTTTTAAATTTAACATTTTTAATAATAAAACTAAAAAAGCAGTTTTAATTATGATTTTTTGAAAAAAGAAAAAATAGAAAAAGAATATAAAAAATAAATATAAAAATAAAAAGAAAAAATAGAAATATATGATGAAATGAATAAAATTAAAGAAGAATTAAATATAAAATTTAACAATGATGATAAAAAAATCTAAAAAGCAATAAAAGATATAAAATAATAAGAAAATGAATAAACAAATATAAGAAAATTTTAAGAAAATTATGTTAAAAATAATATTGACCTTGAACAAATTTAATTAGAAAATGAATATTTAAAAAAAGAAATTTTTTTTTTAAAAGAATAGGTCAAAATTCTGAAAATCGAGCTTAGAAAATCAAATTCAAAGTTTTTTTAGGAGAATCAAGAGCCTTCATATATTTAAAAAAATACTACTTTTTATGACAGGGGTATGCTTATAGAAGAGAACTTAAAATTGAAATAAAAAATTAGTATATTAAAATAAGAAACTTAATAAAAAATTAATAAAATGCGAAAATTTAATGATTAAATGTAAAAAGATTTATAAAAACAAATAAGAAGCATTTAATAAAACAAAAATTCGTAACCATAAAAAATTAATGAAGAAAACAATTACATTAAAGTCTCAGAGTTAAGATGTGATTTGGAAAAAATTATAAAAAAATATGAAGAATAAAAGGTGAAAATAAAAGAAAAAGATGAATAGATAATTGAACTAAGAAAAAAGTTATAAGAAAGAATGTTTTCGAAATATATTAGTAAAATAAAAGAATTAGAAGAAAAAATATAAGCAAAGGAAAATTAAGAAAACCTTATTTTGAAAAATTTGGAAATCAATTATTAATTAAAATTGAAATTTCCAAAATATTTTCATTCTGTTTTATTTCATATTAAATTTTTGGAAATTTTTACATAAATTAAATAGGGAAAAATGTAAATATTATATATTTTTGATTTTTTATATTCTATTTAATTTTTTAAGAGATATTTTTTTTAAATTTCTTAAGAAAGGCTTTTTAAAGTTTATGGATTTTTTAAAGTATTAATGGGATTTAATAAAATTTTAAATTTCAAAAAAAAAAGAAAACCACCCTGATTATAAGGAAGTAGCGAAAGTTATGCTTTAAAATTTCAATAAATAACCTATTTAAAAAGAAATTAAATAATTAAGAGTTATTTTTTAAATAAATATTTTTTTTATCTTTATTAAAAAATAGGAATAATTTATTGAAATGGATTAAATTATTTAAGAAAAAAATTATTAATGTGAACTTCTATAAAAGGATCTATAAAATATGACTGTCAGAAATGAAACTTTAGAATGTAATAAAAATATATATATTTTTAATAATTATATTAATCTATAATAAATAAAGCTTAATTAGAAATCGATAAAGTAAAGCTTATAAATAATGTAATGATGTAAATAAATCGTTTGGAAATAAATGGGGAAAAAAATTATTTTTTAGAATTAAAAACTATTATCAAAACAATTTAATAATAACCACCTTATTTAATTTCTTAAGAAGAAAGAATAAAGTAGAAATTAATAGAAGAAATAAAAGAAAAAAAAAGATTAAAAAAATTATAAATATAAGAATAGAAAAAAATAGATTAAGAAGTAGCTTTTAAAAAAAAAGAAGAAGATATTAAAAGAAAATTAGAAGAAAAAAAAAACAGGTTAGATTAAGAAAACAAACTAAGATTTAAATTTTGATTTAAATTTTTAATTTTTAAAAATAGTATATATTTTCGAGAAAAAAAAATTAAAAAAATTTAAATAATTTAATTATTTATAAAAAAAAATTTATTAAAAAAAAGAATTAAAAATAAAATTTAATAAAACTCATTAAGTATTAAAATATATATAAAACATATAACTTTAACTCATTTAATATATTTTTGTTCTTCTTTTTTTAATTATAGTTCAGAGAATATTTATATTTACTTTCTAATTTTACTTTTTTCATTTTTTTATATCATATATTTACATTTATATCTAGCAAAAAATTTTTCCAACCATCCTTTTGAAGCTTTAAATTTATTAGAATAATTAGAAAATTCTAGAGCCTTATCTCTTATTTATTTTCTAGTTACTGAAAAACAATTATTGAACTATATTTAGAGCCAAGTGTATACTTCTTCTTCCATTTTCGGATCTTCTTTTTTTCTTCCTCCACCTATAATATATATAAAATTATTATTTTATATTTTATGCTCTTTATTAACCTTCTTTTCGTTTGTATCCTACCTCTATCCATCTTTTTAAATTTTTTACTTAAATATTATTTTGTTTAGCAGCTTATTTTATATCTTTTAATTGTTTAAAATCTTCTATTGCTTTTTTCTTTAATTCTTCATTATAAACTTTATAAGGTCCTCTCTTTTTATATATATCCATTTTTCGTTTTATATATATATATTTTAATTACTTTTAAATTAAAATGGATTTCGCTTTTAATTTCTTTATCTACTACTTTGTTCATTTATTTATTTATCACTTAATTTAAATCTTTATTTACTTATTTATTAATTTCTTGCTACTTCTTTATCGTTAGCTCAGAATTTTCAATACTATTAAAATTATTATTATTTTATTAATCATTTATTTATCCTTTTGATTCAGTTCTTAAATTTTAAATAATTGTTTTTTATATATTTGCTTCAAAAGATTCAAGTAAATCTTATTATTAATATTCTATTAAAATATTTAATTTAATATAATTTATTTTATTTTTATTAATGTAAAAAAAAAGTTTATAAAAAAAATCTAATATAAGTTTCATAATTATTAATTTTTTTTTTATTAATTTAAATTTGTATTATAAGAAATAATTTATTTTAATTATTTATATTATTATAATAAGCAAATCGATAATATAATTTCGAATGAGTATAAATAAATAATGTGTTATAGTATATTTTATTTTATTTACTTTTTTTTTAAATAATAATTGGGCTTTCTTTATTTAAATATTAGTCTATATTATTTATCGAATTTTCTTAAATATCTTCAATATATTACTAGTTATTATTGTTTAGCATGAAATTTGAAACTAAATAATAAAAAATATAAAATATTTATCTCATCATATTTTTTCCAATTAAACATATTTATAAAATATAAATTTATATATTTTTTAATAAAAAAAATAATGAACTTTTATTTTAAATCAATAGTATTGAACTATTTAGCATTTCAAACAAATTATATATATCTTGATTTTCTTAACTGTACAAATTAGGGGAAATTTATTTTTCTTTTATAAATTGAAGGTTTGATATAATATTATGTAAAAAATTTTTATGCATAAATAAATTCATTTTTTTAATTTTTAATTTTTTTTTTATTATTATTATTAATAAATTTTTTAAAAAATATATAAAAAGATTTGATTTTTTAGAATTTCAAAAAAAAACCGCAAAATATAAATTTAAACACTATAAAAAAATAAAATCAAATAATTAACATAAATTGCATTAAAACATCTAGAATGGAATGCCTTTTTTTTATTAAATATTACATCACGTTAATTTTTATTTTTAATAACTTTCAAAATATGCTCATATTTTATATCTTTTTTCAATTCTTAATAAAACTATTTTTTCTTGTGTTAATTTTTCAAAATAATATAATAAAAATTCATAAAAATATATAAAAGAAAATAAATAAATTATAAAAATAATCATTTATTTTAAAAATTTTAATATTTAAGTATTTATTGTATAACACTTATTTTATTATTCAGAAAAATTAAAAAAAAAATGAAATAAATCTTTTTATTTAAAAATCTTTATTTTTTAAAAATAGATTAATATTTCTAAGGTATTTTATAATAAAAATATATTATTTAATTTGTTAAAATGCAAATATAGTTTTTTTAGCTTAATCTAATTAATTTACCATTTATGACTTATTATATTTATTTTCTTCCTATAATACTTAACAAATAATAAAATAATAAAAATGTAAATATTATATTTTGCAAATACTATTATTATTTTGTAAGAATAATATCTAAAATTAATTATTTAAATTTTCAAATATATTAATTAAGTTAATTTTGATTGGAAATTTCTTATTTTATTTTTACTTATTTAACTTTATCGAATTAAATTTTATGAAAAATTCCCTTCATTACATAAAGTGTCTTATTGGCTTATTCAGAAAACAAACACTTTAATATTAATTTTCTCATTACACAAATATTTAAATAAAAAACAATATAATTTTCAGTTAATAAATGTATTTATTATTAATAAAATTGAGATAACTTTATATTTTAATTGAGTAAATGAATATTATAAACATATTTTTTTTTAATATTTAAATATTTATTTCATATTATTTTGAAAACTAAATAAATTTTATAAATTGAAAATAATTCATTTAAATAAAAAAATATAATGATTTATAATAATTAGTATTAATTTTATTTCTCAAGTTAATAAAAATTTAAAATTTATATATCCAATAACTTATTTATAAAAATAATAAATAAAATTTAGACTTATATTAAAATATCTTTTTATTTTTATTTTTGTGTTTATTATTCTTTTTATTCATATTTTATTTTATAAAAAAAGAAATAAAATATATTTTATGTTTTATTTTATATTATATACTATTAATTATTTTATTAAAAAAAAAATGGAATAATAATAAGATTAATACGATTATCCAAATTTATAACAAGAAGTAAAAAATTAATTATGAATTTTAAATAATTAATAATATTTTAATGTTTGTATGATTTTATAAGATATAAATTTAAGTTGGTGAACCTTTAACAAAAGAAGCAACCTTAATAAAGTTTACGGTTTACAGCGTTAAAGGACAAGATAAACTCGGAACCTTTGATACATATAGAAGATTTAGTGAATTTTATGCATTAAAAGAAGCTTTAAATTCTAGATGGCCGGGATGCTTTGTCCCTTCAATTCCTGCTAAAGAGTTAGTAATATTATAATATATTATTATAATATATTCTTAAATTAAAAAAATAAATAAAAAAAAGAATTCAACCAACTAAAATGTAGTTGAAAATAGAGCAAGATTTTTAAATAGTTTTTGCAATTAAGTAGCTGGTTTAAGTCATTTATTTTATTCTGAAGAATTTCAAATTTTTATAAGATCAAAAGAACATGATGTTACAAAAGTAATTAATGTTTTAATACAAAATTATATATTATTTTTAGGTATTTTGTATTTATATATTTTTTTTATAAAAAGACTTTTTCATAATTAAAAAAATTATCATATTAAGAAATCCTTTAAAAATATTAATAAATATTTCCTATTTAGTAAGAAATAAATCATTCATAAACAAATATAAAAATAAACACATTTTATTAATTTTTGAAGAAATCAATACCTTAATTAGAAGTAAATATAAGATTTAAATTTAAAAATATTTAATAAAAATATATAAAAAGAGTTATAAAGACTAAATTTAATAATTGTATTAAATGAGGTAAGAATTAAACAATAATTTCATAGATTTGAATTAAAATATAATTCCTTAGTACGAATAATGCTGTATAAATGAATATGTTGCTTATGATTCTAACGCATTAATTTATTCAAATTAATAAAACTAAGAAATTCAATAATTTTAAAATAATTTTGTAAAAAATTTTTAAATATTAATTATAAAAAAAAAAAAAGAAAGAAAGCAAAAATAAAAATTAATTTTAATATGTTCTTGATATGATAGTATATGAATTAAGAGATACATAGGTAAAAATATATTTATATATTTAGAAATAATATAATTTAATATAAATAATCATATATATATATAATTATATGATTAAATATTTATTTATTTAATAAAATTTAAATATTTAATATGATTTTATATTTATTTATATATTTATATATTTATATTTTTATTTATAATTTAATATTTATATTTATAAGGTATTTATTGATTTAATTGATTAAAAAGCATAATTAGAAAAAAGTAAATAATCATTTATTAAAGATATAAAAAGTGATGAAGAAGATATAATAAAATTATGTTAAGGAAAAAAACAATAAAAGCTATGTTTACTAGTATTGAAGATTAAAAAAAAAAACTAGAATAATAGATAGAAATAGTAAATTTTTAATTCTACATAATTTTTTATTTTTATATATTTATAGTAAAAAAATGAATTAAAAAGTCTAGACTAACTAATCGAAACTATTACTTATATTATAGGATTTATTGAAATCGATAGATTTAGGGTTTTTTTATTTATTAATAATACAATATTATAATATTTATAAAAAAAATATATACTATAGAATGAAAAAAGCTATTTGTATTAAAAAGTTATGAAAGGAGTAGCTGATGCTGAAATTATTAATAGTATGGATTTAATAAATTTTTGGGGATTTATAAATGATATATCTTCAAGACTTTTGAAATCTTGAATTTTTTTTTAAAAAAATAGAAATATTATAATAAATAATAAAAATATTATAATAAATATTTATTTTATATTAAATATTAAATTTTTTTAGAAATTTAGTTTTTTAATTATAATTTTTTTTCATTTATCAATTTTTTTTAAACTAAAAATAAAAGAAATTAAATTTATTTTTAATAAGAAAAAAATGAAGAATAATTTTTAACAAAATAAGAGTCATAATTAAACTGGACATAAAAAAAGAATTATTTAAAAAAATAAATTAAGTCTAAATAAATTCCATTAAAAGGTTTATAAGAAACAGACATAAAAGCAAATATTAAAAAAAAAGCAAAGAGATATTGAAAGATTATTATCAAAAGTGAAAAAAATAAATTAAAAATATTAAAAATATATAAAAAGGAAAATTTAAGTGAAGCAATAAAAAATACTAAAAATATAGAATTAGAAAATGTAACAAAAGAGATTCATTAATTGGAAGTTAAAAAAAACGAGAAGATAGAAAAATTAAATTTTTGGAATAAAAATATAAATAAATAATGGAAGTGGAAATGACAAAAGTGAAAAGATTATAAAAAAAAACTTAAAAGAAATTGAAATAAATAGAGATACATAAGATAAATTCTAATAACTTTTAAAAGAAAAATAAGATTTATAAAATAAATTTAATTACATTAAAGTATTTTTTTATTAAATTATAAAAATTAAAATATATTTTGTAGTATTTTCCAAAAGATAAAAAGTATTTATCTCTATTTCCTAAAAATGAAGATTAAAAGATGGTTGAGTTTAGGAATAAAATTATGATCGATATAATAGAAAAAGTAAATATTTAATTTATTTATAAATATTGTAACAAAATTAGATTGAAAAAAAAGAAACTTATTTAAACAAAATAGAATTTGATTAAAAGAATAATAAAAAGCAAATAATGTAAAAGTAAGAAATAGAAGACGAAGAATAAAATATAGAAGATAATTAATTTAATATAAAAAATGATGAGTAAGAAAAAGATGATTATAATAAAAAAGATAAAGAAAAGATAGATAATTTTTTTATAGAAGAAGATGATGATAACAATGAATAATAATATAAAAAAGAAAAAAAATAATTGTAAAAGAATTAAAAAAATTTCAATATACAAAATGAAAAAAAAAAGAAAAAAGAAAAATGAAAATTTATAAATACTAAAAGTATATATAATAAAATTATAAATAAATTTATAA